TCTAAATTGAAATAAACGTTTTTACTAATTTTTCGTTTAAACTGTTACTATCACACTTTGAAATCGTTTTAATCTAAACTTTTTCTTTGTAGTGGAAAAAAGCAATTTACTTTAGTTTGGAAACTAGTCATTATACACTCCAAATACTTATTGCTAGCTCACTATTTGATCCAATCGAGAGAATTAAATATATTTTTGGAAGGAGATGATATTATTTATAAGGCGATGATGTAATTGTTTTAGTTTGTTTTTATATTTCAAAGTTGCATACATATTGATGTTGAATTTATATAGTTAGAGTTGCGTTTTTATGAAAAATGTTCACTATTATCCATACAATACAGTATTGAATAATAAACAATGTACTCGTAATATTTACTATATTTGTTATTCTTTAACTTGAGTTATTACTTGATTACGGAAAATATACATGGTGTGTTACAGTWAGAACTTAGGTACTCCGGGTTATTGTCATTTACATAGGTAAAAGTTATTTACTCGATTTTACGTGACTCAAAAGAATCGTATAATTTATAAAAATATTAAATATTAAAATTTTCAACGTGACTCAAATCGAAAATAAACGGACAATAATGGAAAAATCGTTTTCTTATGCGAACTTCATAATGTTTTTATAACAAACCAAAGTCTTTTGTTGCACTACCCCGCAAAAGGTACGAAAACTCGACTAAAATTATATATGGTGTGTAACAAAGAACTGACAAATGTTATTAACTTACTATGTAGTAACTTTTATTCTAATCAATATTTTTTGACTTTTTTCATAATATTAAATAAAAAATTATTATTTTTATGTTTTGATTAAAAAAATTATTACTTGATTTGTAAATTACACTTAAAATTAATGAGTAAATAAAATCGATTAGGAGATACCATGAAAATGTTCTAACACTTCTGTGGTACACCATAGTATAATGGAATAATACGTTTTAGACATCACGGACATTTTGTTTAATTTTAGAGCCCGGATCCGCTCCACGGAATATTCAAGTGCGTTTGCTCAGTTCGAGCACGATGGTCATACAATGGGAAGAACCCGAGACGCCAAACGGTCAAGTGATTGTAAGCACAATATAATAACTGTATTTTAGCTGTTAATGTCCACCTTAATATGATATGTTGCACGGAGGCRYAGTTTGAGTACAATTCGCTTATGCAAATATGTATGACTTGTTTTTACGCACATAATTTGGTACCTGTAAATAATTTGTTACCCTTAGGCTTTAATATGCCATTCTGTACCTACTCATACGACCGTTGTTATTTTCGTTGAAAAAAAAAACAAAAACAAATCTATACCAATTTTCTCCGATTTTAAAATATGAAGTTGTCACTCTTTTAATAATTTGAGTTCCTATTGGTTTAATATTCTAGCCAAATATAATACATAGAAAAAGTTAAAAAAATCATATTGTAATAATAAACGGGTAAAAAAATACATATCAATATTTATATGTGTCATGATTTTGTGAATTATACAGCTGAGKTAAATAAAAAGATACAAACAAACAAAATATAGTTATTTTAAACATAAAATAATTTAATTGTAATATTAATTTGTATTATCATAAATGAAAAACTGCTTAAACGAAATATTAGCTGTTCATTTGCAAAAATAACACTCAAAATTCTTGATAYATCTATAAAATAACTTTATTGTATTCAATATGTTAATATGTATGGAAAACTATTCAATAACCGTTAAAGAAAATGCTGCTGGTAAAAAATTTTTGCAAATAAGTTGAAAAATAATTCATACACTTATGCCCATGCCCATGTGTTCATATTTTAATAAAACTATAATATAATGGTCATGCGTTTATCAATTGTAAAATTCCACAATTAATGCAATWGACAACAATTAAGGCTATCAATGCTGGCTAAAATAAAATCGAAATATCAATTATAATGTTGTATAAGCATATTTTTGAAGATTTAATAAAAATTTTTAATATTTTGAGAAAAATAGGTATGATTTAATTCCAAAAAAAAAAATAGGATGAAAAATATATAGTACCTTTTTTCTTTTCAAGAAAAATTGTGCTCATTTTCTAGGAAAATGGTCCCACAAATTTGCACATACCTATCATTTTTATCTTAATCTAAACTATAGCTAAATATCTCCAGGCTCCCAAAAATTCGAGATTTATGAAATTTAAAAATGTTTTATATCCAAAGCTATTTTTTACTTCACGTTTCGAAAATATTTAAGATTACAACATCAGCCTAGAAGATAAAATGCAATTTTCATTGTTAATGACTGACTAAAAATAATAATATATAATTTGCACAAACGAGTTTCTCCCTGACAGCAAGTCCAAAACTTCTCGACACCTTTAAATTATATAATTCAATTTTCTATTTGTCCTCAGCGGTATAAGGTCTACTACACTGTGAATCCGGACCAGCAGCTGTCGTCGTGGAATACCATGGTAGTCGACAACAATCAGCTGACCACTATCAACGAACTCACACCTTTATCCGTTTACACCATACGAGTGCAGGCATTCACTAGCGTGGGACCCGGCCCCCTATCTTCGCCGGTTCAGGTCAAAATGCAACAAGGAGGTAAATACGATCGCGAGTTTTTTTGTGTTMTGGATTTGTGAGTATGATAATGATATGTCTCYGACTAGCTCTTTAAARACTTTGGTGCATATATAKAAAKAATGGCTCGCTAGAAGGATTTAAAACACGATTAGATTTTTTTAATTTTAAACAACGTACCGACTGGTATCGTTATGCAAAATACGTTGGCTTAGGTAGGTTATTATTTATAGATATATAACTATAAAAATAAAATAGAATTATGWTTTTAAGTACATTTTTTGTGTTTTTTTAAATTATTATTTTAACATGAAGTTGCTGTCATTTGAAAACAATTAAACACAGGTTCCCTAATTTGTAGTATCAAAATKATTCTATGAAATGTAGAATGTGTTTTATGATTATAATATTTTATAAGGTTATCTCATACAGCAATGTAGCTAAATTGCCTATTCAAGGCGCCGTGTGATCATAATGTTATTTCTGTAGCGTCCCARCATACAGGAATATGAGTACAGTAYTGAAAAAATAATAATGTAAAATTTCAACGAAGGATCCCCAAAATAGTAATAGTGTCGAAAACCTACATCAAGTCTATGCCTTAATTGTTTTTTATGGGATCACTAACATTTTTTGTTTATTTAAAGAGTTTATACATTTATGTGTACAATGTATTAACAATTGACTGATGTTTTAGGTCTGTTTGCGCTATTTATAGTGATTGGTATATCTTATTATTTTAGAATCGATAGTTTTATAACTTACTTCTAGCTATTGCATTTTTTTTATCTTTTATTTTCGACTATCATCTTTTTTCTCCAAATCTCGTTGTTTCGTKGTTTTCACAACTTCTATTTGAATTTGCTCTCATTAATGTAAAAATACGATTTTAGTGCCCAGTCAACCAAGAGACCTGCGAGTGAATGAAATCGGTGAAACGTCTATTGGACTCCAATGGGCTAAACCCAATCAAGTCGGCGAACAAATTCTCAGCTATGAACTCTACTGGAACGATACATACGTCAAGGTTGATATAACAAACAACATATAAACATATATATATTTGTGTGTGTGTGTAATGTGTATTTATTTTTCCTATTTACAACTTTTTAATCAACTCTCTTACTAGGTAACTTTCTTATTACAATTCAACTCATGATTTGTTGTTTTCAACAATTTAATGTACCTATAAAGAAAAAACATATTTTAACAACAGACATTGATGTATATATACCTGCCGCTTACGATTTTTAATTTGATTATCAAATAGCTGACARCAGTCGTTTATCCATACATTTTCTGCAATCAGAGTATTGCGTCCACGACTTTGAACGCAAATTGTTCTCATCAAAAAAAAAAAAAGTTTTTAATTTTGTAGTTTCTAACTTATAGTTAATCGTTAATATAAGTTTGTAACTTTTATTGTTTAACAACAATACAATAATCGTACCGTGAATCTCAAACTTGATGTATTTATAAAAACATAACGTCTTTGAACGGATATAAAATATATACATATTGTAACGTCTGCGTGTATACTTGCTGCAGGAAAAACATCATCGGCGCATCCCGGTATCGGAGAACTACTCGTTGACCGGACTTTATCCAAACACGCTATACTACGTCTGGCTGGCGGCGAAATCACAACGCGGCGAAGGGGCGCCAACGCCTCCAATCCAGGTCCGGACCAAACAATACGGTAAGTGAATGGCGTGCCGCCGACGCAAATAAAGGTCTCAGCGAGTCTTCTGTACTCGGTCGGCTATTATACGCGTATATCGTGCGAAAGACATTCCATCAGGTAGGAGGAGACGCGACCGGCATTATGATAATAATAATAACTTAATATAGAGTGCACACCACGACGCACCGGAAGAAAGCGACACATGCACGAGTGTTTGTTTACCGACCGCGCCGAGCTGCTGCCCGGCTGTACACGCCGGATGGGACGTGTGTAAAGTCTGAAAACGTGAATTTGAACTTCGCATAGTTAACGAATACAATATTATAAATCATGATATTATGTGAGATGATTTTTTTTTTTTTTTGACGGGGCACACTAGCGATTGCGCGATCAAACTCGGCGGCATTATAAGCTGCAGCAGTAATGTATTTATGACGATTAATAACTGGTGGGGGACCATTTGTTTTTGTTTTATTTTTTTTTTTTTAATTTGCAATTTATGCAATTTTGAGAGACTCGYCGTGAACAAAGTGAAAAGATCAATTTAATTTAATTTTTACTGAACTATAAAGGCACTCGAGATTTATTGTAACATTATAGACTGCAAAACTCTAAGTATAAATGCGTATATACAATAAACGATATTGGATGTGGAGCTATAGGTTAGGTTAGCTACAATACATTTTACATTTAAGTATCCATCGATATCTTCAGAAAAAAACATTCTACTGTACTTCAAAATTAAATAATATATAAAAACCGTCGCTATATCATTTATGATATTATAGATAATATAGRGGTATGTAAGTCTTTGGCGTTGTACAGAGTGGATCTGTGACGTATGACATGCGTATCAGCATTTCATTTTAGTTTAAAATCGTCAAATCCTCCATGTACATCCTGCATACAAAGTAAATAAATTGTAGGTACCAGGAATACAATAATAACAAGCGTCTATTAAGAAAAAAAAATTATCTTACATAATATAATATATACGATAATATTCCTATAATACATAAGGAAGTGATTATATAAATATATATTTTATACAAACACTATATATATATATATATGTGTAGTTATATATTGTATTGGTTTATGCGAAACGGTGATGGGGCGTGTTTGCAGTATATTTATAATACATATAATATTATAATTTAATGTCTGCTGCGCGTGTGTGTACATTGAGTCGGACGCAGCTCGGTGTTTTAATGACGTTAGAATATGCACTAGCACACATTTCGATATTATATATATTTAGAGAGATTTGTTATTCACGTTGGTTTTTTTTTATATGTATATACATATAAATCGTAATGTTACTTTTGTTTGAATCGGAGCGTATAGTACCTATACCATCCCGTACGGGTGTTATCCGCGTGCGCCATCCAATACAGAAACAAAAAAATACAACCGATCGTGTACTCAACGACGACAAGGGGATTTACATCGATGATGTTTGTCGTCTTTCATTATTATTTTGTTTTATTTTCACTCTTTATATATACCTACGAATATAATACGGTCTCGTGGTGGTAATATTATTTTTCGTTTTCGCCGTTATTATTATTATTATTATTTGTGTTATTTTTCTGTTGATTTTTGTTTTGTTATTTTGTTATTTCTTCACCACGACTTTTTATGTGTTTTTCCCCCGATACCCGCGGTGTACTGCTATTGCCACTGATCACAGTGCCCGAAGCGCCACCGCAGAATGTAACCGCCGAGGCCGTCAGCCCCACGTCGATCCTGGTCCAGTGGCAGCCTCCGATGTCCGACCGTAGCAACGGCCAGATAATCTACTACAAGGTGATGGTCGCGGAGAGCGGTATGTCCGACTCGGAAGCAGAACCTTACCGGGTGGAGAACGTCACTGCCTACACGCTGGAAGGCCTGAGACGGTGGACCGAGTACAAGATTTGGGTGCTGGCTGGCACGTCCGTCGGCGACGGTCCGTCCTCTTTCCCGTTAACGGTTCGCACACGCGAAGACGGTAAGCATATTCTCACACCAAAGACGCAACAGTCGCTATATACAACCTCCATTTTTACACACACACACACACACACAACACAAATACAAGTTAACGAGGCCAAATTATAAATGTATGACTTAAAATGTTATATTAAGCATTATATATTTCTGCTCGGGGGACCAATATATCACATATTATTATTATTCCCGATGCAATAATATTACCTGATAGAATATCATTACATGATACATATTTTGTTTGTTTTTCGCTATGCATTTAGGTGTAGGAAGGTAAGGTCGTGCTTCTTTCTCTTCTTCACCACCGCTATATTACTTTAGCAATGTATTACATCACAGTGCCGTGTTTAAACAAATTCCAGCCTCTTTTTTCTTACTAGTATGAGGTACCAACAAATAAAAACGAAAAATTACAATCACACATTGTTTTTATTATTTATTTATCCGCAATTGTGTAATGAAAAATATTTTTGTAAAATATATGCGTCCATCTTGTTGTTTTCTATGGCCGATTTAATGATGATGGTTTATTTTCACTTTCGATTCTCTAAATAATATACCTACATACAAATGATAAGAAAAAATTGAATGTTTACAAATATCAGACACTCACTTGAGACTTTGAGAGGAAGATTCAATCAAACAACGAGAACAAATAATTTAAAAACCTTGATTACAAAGATTTTATTTTCAAAATAWTTCGTATTATTTTTTTATAAACGATTTTTCAAATAAAACAATTGTAATTTGAAAATATTTTATTTTACTCGGAACATTACAATCGTTACTATGATAAGATGTGCCCCCCCCCTTTCCACTTGGCTTCACTTAACATGGCACTGTTATTGTACCACTCATACCGCATATTATAGCGATTACCTACTGTTAATTTACAATTATATTTAATATGTATTTGCTGATGTATTATTATATTACATTACGACAATCATGGTGGTGACGGCCGCGGATATGGATACGGATTAATATAGTACGGGTGGTTGTTTGAATCTCTTCAATTTATGCGCTGTGTTTCTTCTTTTCACACTGTCTTTCGCACCACACTGTATTATAAGTATTATACTACGATCTCTTCCGGGTTCGTGTAATCACTGTGTGTGTGTTTTTTTTTAATTTTCGGACGCACAGTGATACAACACACTCGGTATTATTACTATAATATATACAAGCACAGTAGAACAAAATGGTTTTTTAAACCAACGCACCACCACACCACAATGTTTTGGCCCATAACGATAATATCTTAACGCTCAATTGTTGTCGACGATGAAAATTGGAAATAGATCAGAACGCAATATCTACGCTCAATACTAATACCTACATAATAATATACGTTTGTCGTACAGCTCGACCGTTGTTATATATCTATACGTGTGTTGAACGATTATAATACCGAATTGGCTTTACGGTGTTTGTGGCCCTACTGCGATAGAAATCATAGCTATGCACAGCTGCTGCTAACTATATATAGAGATGTAAATACCTCGACCCGTGAGTGACAGCGAATTGGATGTTAGTCCGTGCGTATATATACTTAAGTCTTCGTTGTAATCGTCTGCGAGGAATGCCTCGTGGAATTTCGATCGCGATTTTTTTCCTCTTCGCGGACAACTAATATGACAAGAATTCATGACTCGCGTGGTCCCTTTCAATAAACGATATGACCGCTGTCATCCCTGCCAACAGCAGATACCTATTAGTTTTAATCAGGCCCTGCAGAATACATTATAAAGATCGCATCATGTATATAAACGACGTAGTCGTCGTCTTCGCGAATGAACCCAGTACATATCATATCATTATCATTACGCATAATCGTTTTCGGTTAGAATCAATCAATCTCTATGATCTCTGAGGGAGTAATTAATTAGACGCGTGGCACACCACACAATAACACGTATACCTATTATAACAACGGACGGCGGTATATTATGTTGGTATTCGATGATAATATTATAGGCACTGTTGAATATCATGTGAATATAATATATTCGTGGAATGCCGAATCTGGTAAATTAATTGTTATTATACCGTCGATATAATAATGTAATATACCAGCTCTATATTATTATACTGTGTGGGCATAGATATAACAATAAAAACAACAACAATTATATATGCGTCGATATATGGTTATGGGTCAGAACTTGAATTTCGAGCACCACTATATTATATAACGTTAAGTTGCACCTAGAATACGTATAATACACAGCTTTAAGTTAATATAATGCACATCGCTTGGATAATCACACATAATGTACACATAATATTTATTATTGTAATGTAAATCAATATATCAATATATGTATTATATAATATATATGTATATATATATATATACATATATATTATATAATACACAGCTTTAAGTTAATATAATGCACATCGCTTGGATAATCACACATAATGTACACATAATATTTATTATTGTAATGTAAATCAATATATCAATATATGTATTATATAATATATATGTATATATATATATATACAGTGACGTAGTCGAGATTATTTTTCAATTGGGGTATAAAGATCAATTATCGGAAAACCATAGAAAATATATTAACAATAGTTCCCAAGAACTAGTTCATCATTAATACCAACACTAAATTATTTATAATAACATGACGTTCACATTATTGTACCTATAGCTGATATGTTTTGATATATATATAATTTATAKGTACACGGTATATATATAAATTATATATATTTATTTAATCTGATATAATGGGTAAAACGTAAAATTAATTGGTCATTTTTAAATCAATCGCTGCAGTTGATTTTGTCATAAAATTCAAAATATGCACATAAACACATAATTTTAAAGGTTTTTTAAAGGCGATTGGGATAGAGTAGTAGATCTGATCCCCCATCGAATACTTCACTGTATACGTATAAAATATATTTTTTTAAATATCACTATATATTATATATATATAACTGGATATTACGTACATACAAAAATCGTTCGATGACGTGCGTGCGTGCAATTGTTTATTGCACTCGATCCACACATACTATCCGTAGGTACGTAATAAATTTATCTGCTGTGTTTCTTTTTCACATTTTTTTCACTCTCGTCTCTCTTTTATTATATTTATATATAATACATATCCCATCTCCCGGACGGAAGTCTTTTCCCAAATAATATATATATACATATTACATATATAATATTATATATTATTATTATTATTTTTTTTTTTTTTTGGTAACGCTGCACACATTTTGTATTTTGGCAGCTCGACAAATTTTTTACGCACATAATTTTTACACACACGTATTTATATAATATATAATACGACTGCGTTTATATATTTTTTTTGTTTTTTGTATTTTTGACACTAAAAGTATTTTTATTGTATCTTTTTGGTACGATTTCGCACTATTTTTTATGCGAAACCGTCGTGTCTGTCTCCCCGTGGTGATCTGGTCGTCCAGAAATGAATAGTGAGTACACAAATATCAAACGCAACCAAAACGTAGTAGTGGACAAAAATAATAAGGTTTTAATTTTTTTTTCTCACCCCGTAGCAGTGATCGTCCGTTGACTAGCTCGGCGATACATTTTATATCTTTGGATTTTTTTCGTTTGACTTATATTTTTTAACAGTACTTAACCAATGTAATCCTTGATATTTTTTTTGGTAGATTTTGATTTTTGATCAATATAACAACCCTTAAATATTTTATTTTTGTTTTTGTGTTATCCTAAACATTTATTTTTATTTTTATTTTTTTTTTTAATAGTGTAACCCCGATTTATTTATCTTTTATTCACCTTCCAAATTTTGATTTTTGTTTGAAATGATGTAATTTTTTTTTACATTTTTATAATATATAATATTCACTCCGAAAACGTTATTTTTCCTCGCAACTATAACGCGACGAACGTTATCGGAGTGACGCAAGTCAAATGGATGTATAAAAGGAATTATCATAAACTGATCCTTTTTACCATTTCGCTTGTTTGCTCAACCATCCGTAAAACGTTCTTAAATACTAAACATATCTAATTAGCTTGTATGTGTATCGGTATATAACAGTGCCAGGACCTCCTACCGACGTCAAAGTACTGCCAGTCAACTCGACGACGATACACGTGCAATGGCGACCACCCACCGAAGAGGACCGACACGGCATCATCAGAGGTTATCACATACACGTTCAAGAAGCCAAGCCTGAGGTCAGCATGCCGTCGCCAGATGCATACAAACCTATATAGATCGTCATTGACCAATAGCTGTTTGCCTAATCCGTATCGTTTTTGCTTTTTCCGACCACAGGGCAACGCGCTGCTCAACGAACCGCTGAGATTTGACGTCACGGACGCATTGGAGAGCAACGTTACCGGTCTGCAACCAGATACCCTGTATGCGATCCAGGTGGCGGCCATCACTCGCAAAGGCGACGGCGATCGCAGTTATCCTGCCAAAATCAAAACGCCAGGCGGCGTACCCGTCCGGCCCGTCGTCAACCTCAAGTACTGATATTTACGATAGATTAATTTAACAAGATATTCAATAATTCGATAATATTATATTATGTTCATGTATAACCGCGTGTGACGAAAATAAATGCGATCTTTTGCTTTTAAAAATAACACCACGATTATGTTTTGCAGGGTTTTGGAACGAGAACCCAAAGTCAACATCGAACTAGAATGGACCAGGCCGACGAACACGTACGGGGAACTGTTGGGGTACAAATTGCGTTACGGGATTAGGGGACAGGAAATGTTCGAGATCATGATGACCGAGAACAAAAGGCGCATCACCGATTTAGGTTAGGATATATTATTATCCTACCGTAGAATTTTGATAGGTCGACCTTTATAGGGTCGTTTGTACGTATTAGTATGTATTAATACCAACCTGGTTTTGTTTTTCAGAACGTGGCGTTGAGTACGAATTTCACATATCCGGTCAAAACCAAGTGGGCTTTGGCCAAGAAGCCACAGAATACTTCAACACTCCCGAAGGTCCACCGACCGGTCCGCCGATAAACGTGTCGTATGAATTTCAGACACCCGACGTGGTCTGTGTCGTGTGGGACGAGCCGTCTCGCGAACATCGCAACGGACAGATAATCCGCTACGATGTACAGTTTCACAAAAAAATCGATCAGTCTACAATCACACATAGAAATACCACACTGAAAAAGGTTAGGTTAGGTTTAGAACACATTGACTAATTTAAATCTGAAAAAAAAACAAATCGTTAGCAGTTTGCATGTCTTACGCGCAAAGCACGGATATCTGATGCTCTTCCCTTCCCAACGAATAATTTGAAGATTTAAAATCATGATTTTAAACACAAATATCTTTAAATGAAATTTTTAAGTGCATTAAACATTTATTTACAATGTCAAAATGAAAAAAAAATTACATTAGTCGATAAATTTCTAATAATAAATAAAAACATAAGTTTCTTTAAAATTATTAATATTTACTGAAAAAATTAGTTATTAACTATATCTTATAACCAGGGATAGGATTTATATGCAATAACAAATTTTTACCATTCCTAGAATATTATTATTTATCATACTTCATAATTTATTATTATTATATTAAATATTAGTTTATATTATTACATGCTACTATGATATATATATATATATATAAAACATATTATGTTGTTTCAAATGTTCAAATACGAACAATCGGCAATTTGAACGTAGAATAGATTTATATTGATTATATAAAACTCTTTTTCACATCACACGAGGTTATTGGAGCATATTTAAATGAAGCGATTTGTCCTCGAGTTAAATTAATATTAACTTCTTCTTCTTCCTCTTCATATTCGGCGTTTATATAATTTTACGAATTTATAAAAGTGTTTTGAATCCTTTATTCTTCTTAAGTATGAAATCCATTTTAGTTTTTACCAATTCTGCTACTCTCAGTTATAACTGACAGTCTGCTCTATAGATAAACCATTGTTACATGTTATATATTATATGATAAATTGTTAAAATTAGTAATTAGATATTTCTTTTTTTTAATTCTTAAAAACATATCAAATATATAGCTTTTTATATTCTTCATAAAATTTATAAATATCAAACTATAATAATTATATAAAATAAGGAATTTAAAAATGTTTAAATATTAGAAAGAGTTCAGTTGAATTACTGTGTGTAAATATGATAAATATTATATGCGTGTAATGTAAGATTATATCATCCAAATGCGACCTCCTTTGTGTGTCTTACAAATTTGTATGGCGTTTTAAAATTTAACTGTATTAATATGTTTTGTTTTTTGTCTTAGGCGGTATTTTCTGGACTAGAGGAGGGCACTGAATATGTTGTCACCGTTAGGGCAGTGACTGCTGAAGGTGAAGGGCCGTGGAGTCCACGTATGACCATAAACACCACCAGAGAAATGGTTCGTGCTCCTATGGGAGTTAAGGCTGTAGCAACATCTGATCAAAGTATACAAGTGTGGTGGGAAGCCGTCCCAGTGCGAGTAAAAATCAACGGTTATCGTATTTACTATACAATGACGGCAGTTGAAGATCTTAACCAATGGAATATAAAAGATGTCCCGGCCACTGAATCCACAGATCTTGCTAATCTTGAAAAAATGGCACAGTATGCAATAGCCGTGGCAGCTCGCATAGATAATGTAAATAATATAGTATTTATTTATTTCAATTGATTGTTTTTTTTTATAATTAATTTTGTTAATTAATGCATATTGGTTTACAGGGTTTTGGAAGACTGTCTGAGAAAATCACTGTCATTGTAAAACCAGATGAAGTACCATTAAACTTGCGTGCATCAGATGTAAGCACCCACAGCATGACTTTATCATGGACTCCGCCTATCAAATTAAATCCAATCGGGTACAAGATCTCGTTTAATGCAGTTAAAGAGTTTAGAGATTCGCAGGGCGTAACCCAGTTACAAATGGTACCAACTCGAATAATAGAGTTAGACAAATATGTTTTGAGCCATACAATTGATGAATTATCGCCATTTATAAGCTACGCTGTAAATGTTAGTGCTGTACCATCTGACCGTAGCTATAGACCCCCTTCAAGAATTACAGTTACCACTCAAATGGCCGCTCCACAACCAATGGTCAAACCTGATTTTTTCGGTGTTGTAAACATGCAGAAAATTCACGTAATTAAAATTGTTTATTCATAGTGAATACACATTTATTAACTATGTTTTATGTATTACACTAGGTTATATTGCCTCAAGCATCTGAAGAATATGGTCCGATTTGTCATTATTATGTAGTAGTTGTTCCAGAAAATCCAGACACTGCACTTATGAATCCGGATGAGTTTTTAAATCAGAAAGTATGCATTACTATTAACATACATATTTTGTAATTTATATACTTACAAGTTAATTCATGATTATTGTAAATTTTAGCTTGTTGAAATTTCCCAACAAGAAATATTAGCTGAAGGTGAACCATACATTGCAGCTAAATTCCCTCACAGAACCATACCATGGACCTTTTATCTTGGCAATGGTGAGACATATGATGGATTCCTCAATCGAAAACTAGACCAAAATGTGAAGTACAGAATATTTGTTCGAGCATTTGTTGACACCCCACAAAAAGTAAATAATAATAATTTTAATGAAATTATTACACAGAGGCTGTGTAGTTTAACAATATAAATTAAACAATTATTCAATGTCAGTTTGGCTCATAATTTAGTCCCAAATACAATTGTTTTCAGTGTGCCTGGATTAACCAATTTTTTAATTTTTATAAGTACATAACAGTTTATTACCATCACAAACAATAAAAGATGTAAAAAGGTAACCTAAATTTTATAACTTTATTTAACTTAAATTAGTTTTTTACTAAATACAGACTCAAATACAAAAAAATTTTCTTGGGGTCTCCAAATAGAAAAAAAAAAACATTGTGGCTCCGCGATCGCCAGGTAGCTAGGAGAGCCAGACTGACACTACAATTATTGATAATTTAATTTTACATCAACTTTATTTCTTAGCATTTATACACATCTAGTCCATTTTCTGAGCCTATATCGTTGGAAATGCGTGAGGTCGGCCCTGAAGAAGTACCCAAGCGACCTGAGTTAAGAGATATGAACCTGCCTACTAACACAGGTTCCAGTGGAACAATAAATGACCATGTGAGTGTCAGAAGCAGCGCTACTCCACCTGGTTTATTATGGTTGGTTGGACCTGTAATCGCTGCAATATTGCTGACTGCTGCATTAATATTATTGTTTGTGGTTAAGAAGTAAGTTTTATCGGTTTTTTATATTCACTTGGGAACTTTATGCTTATTCTGCTCGTTCAACCACCACTTTTCATACATAACTGTCAACAATTTACTTATTTTTAATTGCAAAATAACAGTTAAATTCACTTAAATATAAAAATATTTCAAACTTCTGTGTATAATATAGAGATGTGTTGAGTATTTATTTTACGATCTCTTACCATACTATTTATTTGATATACATTAATAGACAGTAGGCATGACCTTTTAATACTTTCTTGGTTAGAACAGCACTATAAGTTTTTACAGTAATTCCTGTATGTACAATCCTAATGAATGACGTTATATATTTATGCCAAAACAATCTCATGATATGTTAATAACCCTGAAGTAACTTCGTGTTTTTTTTTTAAATGTTACTATTTTAATCAGTAACATAATAATGTTTAAGATGTGATTTTTATAGTATTAGATAATTTCTCTCAGATTTTTGCTTTCAATGCAATAATCAATTTGTTCAAAATATTCCAAATAGAGTTATTGCCAAACAAACTAGCGGTTAGTGGTTCCACCAACTATGGAATTTTATTCCTATAATAGCGGCTTTATTTATTTGACTATTTCTTTTGATACTTATGTAAGTTATCTTATTGTCTCTGATGTGGTACATAAATTGATCGCACATAAAGTTATCTATGACAAATAGTGAAATAGGTAATTTATAATTTCAATAGTTAATACTATCGTTATAATTATGACAATAGTAACCATTATAATATATAAGTTAAATATTTTAACAATCTTTTATTTTCTCATAAAATTACTTTTTAAAACAATTTCATTATTCATTATCAAAAAATTACTCATAAACATACCATCAATTATAATTTTTGAGTTAGTCACTCAGTCAATATTGTTTTTTATTTTAAAGTTGTGTCAGATCTTATATTAATACCTACTATGAAACAATACTATATAATGTTTGATATACAGTTTCATAAAGACACTTTCTATTTTCCTACTCTATACGTGTTCTTACAGAAGCAATGTATAGAATTGATTAGAGTATTATTAACTTTTAATTTTATGCTAAATGATAGTGTTTGATAGTATTTTTTATCTTAAAAATGTATTAATTAAATTAATAAGATACATTTATGTATTTATATTCAATATTATGAACCTAATGTGTGTCATGTGTATAAAATGTCCATTGACAAACTACAAATTTTTTTGGTCTTTTTTCCATACTACATAAAATAGAAAATAATTATTAGTATAAGGATTTCTGCCTGTTGATTATTTTATATCTGATGCACAGTTTTGCATATGGTTATTGTATTTATTTTTAATCGAGTAAATTCTATCACACATAATATAAGGCTCATTTAATATTAAACTTTGCCAAGTAATTATTATTATTTGAAAATATTTAAGTTGTTTGTTTTATATTAAAAATGTTACCCAAGTGAAGTGATTTGTACGTGTATTGTTCGATATTTTGTCTTGAATAAATTCAAAAAGTATCTCTGGTATCGTGTGTTGTAGCCAGTTGTAGGAAATTCATTAAAACTTGTGGAGGAGTGTTGATACTTGTAATTGTAACGTGAGCTTAAACTCCTCCGGGTCACCTCCCGTTTTTGACTATATACACCTGTAACCTTTGAATTAAATGTTTTTTTTAATTTTGTTTTATCGCCACCTCCCTCTCCCGTTCTTCATTATATCGTCGACTGCGTGTGGTGTATACTACCTATATAGTGCTAATGTGCGTATGCTGTTTTTTTTTCGTTCCACAGGCGCCGCCGGCCGAGCAAGTACGGCGAAACGTCGGGCGTGACGAAACCGCTGATCGGCAACTCTCACCCGAACAACGACCCGGTGGAACTGCGCCGGTTGCAGTTCCAAACGCCGGCAATGGTGTCGCACCCGCCGGTGCCCATCAACTACCTGGCGCAGCACATCGACCAGCTGAAGGCCAACGACAACTTCAAGTTCTCGCAGGAGTACGAGTCGATCGAGCCGGGCCAGCAGTTCACGTGGGACCACTCGAACATGGACGTCAACAAGCCGAAGAACCGGTACGCGAACGTGATCGCGTACGACCACTCGCGCGTGGTGCTGCAACCGCTTCCGGACGGCACGCCGGGCAGCGACTACATAAACGCCAACTACTGCGACGGTTACCGGAAGCACAACGCCTACGTGGCCACGCAGGGCCCGCTGCCCGAGACGGCCGGCGACTTTTGGCGCATGTGCTGGGAGGTGCGCACGTCCACCATCGTCATGATGACCAAGCTGGAGGAGCGCACGCGGGTCAAGTGCGACCAGTACTGGCCGGCGCGCGGCTCGCAGGTGTACGGGCCGATCACGGTCGCGCTCGTCAACGTCCAGGAGCTGGCCACGTACGTGGTCCGTTCGTTCCACCTGACTCGAAACGGCGAAACGGAGACGCGCGAGGTGAAGCAACTGCAGTTTGGCGCGTGGCCCGACCACGGCGTGCCCGACCACCCGGCGCCGCTGCTGCAGTTCATGAAGCGCGTGCGGGCCGTCAACCTGGTCGAGTCCGGCCCGGTGGTGGTGCACTGCAGCGCGGGCGTCGGCCGCACCGGTTGTTTCATCGTAATCGACGCCATGCTGGAACGGGCAAAGAACGAGCACAGTGTGGACATTTACGCGCACGTCACGTGCCTCAGAGCCCAGCGAAACTACATGGTCCAGGTACGCGGGTCGGTCGAATCAATCGATTGGGTGGGGTTTAGTGGCGGGTWGGTAATGGTATACTTGGCGCTAAATTATTTTTAGTTTCCCAAATTTTCGATGGCCGTTCTCGTTGATATATTCTTGGTCTAACTTTAGCATCACTGTATTCGTGATGGTCTACCAACGCGTGTTTCGTATGATGTCACTGCTAATCAATAATATGCGTATAAGACGTATTAATTGAGCTATAAAAATAAAATACACCTTTGCAGCGGATTTTAGTTAGCAAATAAAAATTCTTTACTAAATTYGTACGATAAATAGGTATAGGATTACTATTGGAATGTACTGGGAACGTCGTTTTAAATTATACAGTCTCGTTGGTGACATTTTAAATCATAGTATTATTTTATTTCTCCCGACAGACCGAAGAACAGTATATATTCATACACGACGCTCTCTTGGAAGCCGTCACGTGCGGCGAAACGGAAGTGTCCGTGCGAAACTTACCCATGCACATTCAACAGTTATCCCAAATGGATGTTGGAACGACCGTCACCGGAATGGAACTCGAATTCAAGGTAATAACACTCCGATTTTGGAACATAAACATTTAATTGTTTAGATAGTGTTGTTGATAGGGAAGTAACTTAGACGACCCATATATGTGTTGTCTTGTACCTATGTGAATTTTTTTTCTTACTGTTTAAACTTTTGAATCTTCAATAAGATTTCAAAAAATGTGATGTTTACCAAGATTACGGTTAATGAAATATAATGTAAAGATCTATTTTAAAACACAGTAATGTGTTAAAATATAATATGTGAAAACTTGAGGTTCCGAAATCTCTCAATAATAATTTTGTTAATGGTATATAATAGGTAATAGTTTACAATTAATTAAAACAATCTATGTCAATTGAAGATTACGATGGTATTCATATGATATGATAGGTATGTTTAAAAAATTATATTTTTCGTGACCACCTAAATATATTTTGTGAGATAAATATTTTTTTTACGCATTTTTCACTACCGTTAAGAAGATTTAACAATAGTTAATTTCTCTATTTAGAAATTGGACTGTTTGCTACATTCGAAGAGTTAGTTAAATGATTTCGCGTTGCCTTATGCACCAGCCGGCGACACCGTTCCCTCCATATATTATTGCAGATATGAAAAATATAATATTTTGTGAATTGCAAAGAGCCTCATAATATCATAATTATATCTTTTTCAGAAATTAACATTGGTCAAAAGCGAATTCTGCCGATTCGTCAGCGCCAGTTTACCAGTGAACAAGCCGAAAAACCGTTTGGTGCATTTGTTGCCGTATGAGAACACCCGGGTGTGTCTAAGTGGTGGATCGTCACGTGGCATGGAAGGGTCGGACTACATAAACGCCAACTTCATAGACGGGTACCGGCAGCGAGGGGCTTACATCGCGACCCAGGGACCGCTGCAGATCACCACTGACGACTTCTGGCGCATGCTGTGGGAACACAACTCCACCATTGTGGTTATGCTCACCAAACTGCACGAGTTGGGAAGGGTGAGAGACAAACGCATATGATATAGTTGTACTAATAACGGATGTATTTATATAAAAATTATCTTTGTCTTTGTCGTTTGTTAGTCAAAAATACACCAGCTATCTGCAATTTATGGTATTATAATAATTTATTATAACTGCGCARCATGTTTAAATTGTGTACCAATTTTCCGTGCTTAGGTCTTAATATTAGAAAATCGATAGTGTTTCGTTTCTTAGAACTTCCTCATACAGTACTAAACAAATTACAAAGAC